TCTCTGAAAAACTCCTTAAAAAAGCTTTTCAAAGTCCAACTCTCATGCCATTAGAAAGAGGATCATGAAAAACCTATAAAAAAATGGTTCATGAAACTTTAGTTCACTCATAAAGCTAAAGTCCGCCTGCTCTAGCAAAAAGTGCCCACTGTGTCTTGTGCGCAATCATGAATTATCTAAATACAAATACTTTTGATTTAGAGTACAATCAGACGTAACACTCACTTTTACGATGTTATTATTGTCAGTAATTGAATTCAACGTTGACATAACATGATGATCAATTTTGTTTGTAAATATAATATAATCCTTGTTGAAATTTGGAGTAAAACTGTTTGTGGTTCAAATGAGCTACCATCTCTCTGAAAACAAAAATATAATAAAATACGAAAGACGAGCGAAAAATTTTAATTTATACTTCGCAATCAAAACCGATCATCTTCTCAGACTGTAAATCCAACAACATTTCACGAAAATCAGTGCTTTTGTTGATCCAAATAGCTTTAGGTAACATATTTCTGATTAGTTCCATATTTATCTAAAATCAGAATAACAGAGGCGAGTCGCGAGTTTAGATTTTACTTTCTATATATTTTGAGAGAGATCCTTGATGCCTTTAAGACGTATGGGATCTGTTCTTTGTTTTGGTACCTTACATTAATGCGACACAATAAGACTATGATATTTATGTTTAATCAGCTGCGTGAAAAAATTTTATTAAAAAATACATGTTGCACACAAACAAAACTTTAGTGCAATGCATAAAACATTTACAAAAAAATTATATTTTTATGTGCATTGTTGATAATTTCTATCGGAAACTACACAAATCAATTACAAGGAAAATTCAGGAATGTTCATTTTTGTGTTTTGTATTAAAGCCCATCCGTTAATAAAATAATGAACGTCTATTTAAATCTAAATACCGTGTTGTATTGCATAGTAAGTATAAATGCTAAATGTAGAAAAACAAAAGTGAGTACTCGGCAAATAAAGATATATTTAGTTATAGAACGACTTACAGAGGCTGAGATACACTTTTAAACTAAACATTTTAGCAAGGTTACCTAGCAGTGTCCAATAAAGTGTTCTCCAACAATGTTTTGCAAAATAACGTTTCTTCTCGACTGTTATACCTAAAATGATGTGAAGAGAAACACTTACATATTAACATTATTGAACTTTTTAAATGAAACTATGGAAAAATGGAATAAAACATTATCAAAAGCCATTCTGATCTTAGTTTCCCTCCAGTGTTTGACTGAGGTACTTGTCTGTCTCACCACGAAGAGGTGCCAGATGTCGAGACAGGTCAATACAGTGGTGCAGTGACCGCCCAATTTGTTTCGAAGGAAGTTCTTCACTGCGCAATTTCTCTCAGATAAAATTCGTCTGATTTCTACGTAAGGAAGAATCCGTCTTCGATCTTTAATATACCCTTTAGAACAAAAGACGAACTGTGCATTAGGTATACATGAGACGAATTAGATATTCCTGAGGATGGGACGAAGCATCTGTGAGACAAATCGTACAAGACAATAAAGATTAATACAAATTGACCTGCAACGAAAAATCTAGGGAGAAATTTTCTCCGAAACAAATTGGGCGGACGAAAATGGTTTGACTCCAATTGCCCAGTAACATTTCTAGCAGGATTCTGGAGCAGAACACACATGTAAGCTTAGTGAACAAAAAAAGGTTCGTTTTATGTAAAACAGATTCGAACAAATAAAGAAAAACACAACAAATCGTACATAATTTTTAAACCCGAACTGGTTGGGAACTGACGTGTAAATTCGTATGTTTCCACCTGACACCGTTTCTAAAACAAAGTAAAAGAAAAACAATAAACAAATAGATGTTCAATATACCTTTCTGAAAATAAAAAACTAAATGAGTTTTAAGGCCTACAAACGAAAAAAAGTTCGTGTCTGTCCTTCTCTACGTTCTTTTATTGATTCGCAGGAAAACTCAGAACGCTAAATAAAAGTATGTGGCGATTTTCCTTTTCGATCTCTTACCTCTTAAAAAGCAAAGTCTCTTTCTTTAAACACTAAACATACGCTACAGTATTTGTAATGAGAATCTGAACCCGTAGGATACTGTTTTTGCCAAAAACTCGAACCAGCGTGTAAGTGAAAACTAGCGGATTAACACTTACAGGAACCTTGGTACGCTCTGTTTTTTTCAGCAACGCGTAAAATAGAGCGTACAAACAGTTGTGTAAGTGTATACTGCCTGTCTATGATCAGAAACACTACATTCTCCCGCAGAACAAAGACGAAGCCATGCAAGTAATAAGAATACCTCCACGCTCAAACATACTAGTTTCAGAAATTCTAGAGATCATAAGAAATGGATTTAAGATTCAGAAATATTTTGCTCATAGTTCTATTGCGTCACTATTACTTTTTCAGGAAACTGTGCCCTTTTCGATCCCGATTGAAGTGCATAACTCACTACGGTAATCTGTTATTGGTTGATGAGTCATCAGGTGACTGCATACATATCAGAACGAAAGTTGTCTGCACTGTAAATTCGATTCGCAGAAAAGTCCGTGATTTACCAGGGAGTTTTCCTCATTGTTCAGAGCATCATGTGGAAAAGCCAATGAAAATTTTTTACTTCATTGGGTGAAGTCCGTGAATGTATCTATCACGAAGTTTACTCAGTAATTATAATGGAGAAAGGCAGAATTTTATTCTCGTTCGCTTCTTGCTCTTGTTCTGTATTTTTTATGTAATATGACAGCACAGAACGACAAAAAATGGTTGACAAAAATTATTGCATTTAGTCAGTTTCGAATTTTGATCGTCTATCTATTTTGACCAAGTTCATGCATATCAGTAATCGCTTCGATGTACTTGTTATCCATTGTTTATTTTTTCCATGGCTGTTCCATTAAACTAGATAAGTATTGTGTACATCTTATCCGTTTTTTTATTATAAGCTGGTGCTTTGTGGATGCTTTTTTTTAACCTAGAGATGTTAATTTCGCCGAAAATGGTATGCATGCATCTGTGGATTATTATATATTTAATGATCAATGTGAATGAATTTATGATGACCGTCAAATTGTTTCGCCTCTCGAAGCTTTTTCTGAAGTTGTAACTCAATGTTTTTAAGTTAATATACTTTAGATGTCTGGAATCAACGTAACGGACTTTGTTTGTCCGTCATGCACGAATTGGTCAACACCTTATCTGAAAAAATTTGTTAATCATTTAAAAAATACTCATTGCACCAATAAAAATATTACTATTATGTGTAATCTATGCAATTCTGTATCTTCGAACGCAAGAGCGTTTTCGCAACATGTTAGTAAATATCATAGAACGCAGGATAAAGCCGTAAAAGAAGATGATGAACTTCAGATATTAGAAGAAAGCATCGGACAAGCGCAACCTGTGGTAATTAATACAAATATGAACGGTGATGACTATATGGTCACTGAAGAAGAAACATCTGAGGAACAACTACCAACAACATTAACTGAAATGAACTCATTTATTAAACGAATTTTACATTTTCTACTGACACTTCAATCTTGTTTTTATATATCTGAGGCTGCTGTTAGATATGTGGCAACAAATTTAGCTGATCTACTAGAATGGTTGTTAGTTCACCCAGATGTAAGCTAGTGATCTCATTTTTTCTGATACATAATCAGCAAATTAGCGTTCTCACACAGTAATGTATTTTTAGATTTCTCGCCAAGCGATCTCGTTTTAAAGAGAAATGAAAAGTCCTGTTAAGCGATCCCAAGCTGCTGAACAACATTTTGGTTATGGTCGTCTAAAAAGCGATACAGCTGAGGTCACCTTCATACTACAACAAGTATTTCCTGTACTCACAAGACTGCTAATGTTTCTTTCTAGGTCTTATTGAGCAACGACGAATATCACACTGTGAAATGGAGTTATATTCCATTTCTGGATAACTTGAGACATTTCTTACAACTGTCTGAGGTTCAGGTCGATTTAAGTGCTGGTACCAGAAGAAGTGATGGTGTTATGCTAGATATACATGATGGCCAATTTGTTCGAAACCATGCACAATTTAAAAACCGAAGTTTTTTAAAAATCGAACTTAACTGTGGCCAGTATCATTCTGATTCAGGAAAATGTTTGCTGAGACACCTTTGGCTATGTTTAGATGATTTGAATACCACTAATGCTGTTTCTCACAAAATCCACAAAATTTTTTTCGTGTATTGGTCTCTGTTAGATTACATCGTGATCATCGTTCCGGCCAAGTAGCGAAACGACTGGTGGCTGCTTGTGATTCAAAAGCTCTAAAGCATGGGCTGTTAGATCGTGTTTTAAGTACGTAAATTTTTAAAAAACTTTGTGTATTAATGCTCTTTTTAAGATGATTTTCTTGATGGTATTAAACAATTATCGGCTGCTGGTATACGCGTAAATGTCAATGGCGTGGAAAAAATTTATCATGGAGCATTGTTTATAACTGTGAGTATTAATTTATATGCCTTTGTTATACTGGCATAGGTGGTATGATATCTTCTTCAATCAGACTTATACATAATAATTAATTCTGTTTTTGTATTCCTTCAGTTGGGTGATTATCCGGCGCAGCAAGCCATCCATGGACGTAAAGAGTCCGTGGCAGCAAAAAGATTTTGCCCATGTTGTGATATTACCTCGGATAATTTTGCCGTCTTCATCGATCAGGTATGGAAAATACGACGTTTTGTGCTCGTCGCAGCTGGCTTTTATCTGTTGCTGTTTTAGATTGTCAATGTAGTTTCATTAGACGATTACAATTCTACATGCACAATTATTGAAGATATGAAAAAGAACAACAACCGGTTTTACGAATTTTGGCAAACACATTATGGAATCAATAACAGACGCATATTTTCGGCATTACCGCATTTTGATGTTGTTCTGCAAGTGCTTTTTGATCCGATGCATGTTTTATTACAAGGCAATGGATCGAGAGTGCTTCTTTCTGCTAGTTTACTGCTTCTTTATTATTTAGGTGTTTGCAAATTCCATCTGAATTCATTTCTATCGTACTGTGTGCAACAAAACTATTATACCTTGGCTACGTTCTGCAAAACCGTCAACGAATTTGAATATAATGTAGAAGAAACCGCTTCTAAGCCACATTTGAATTTAAAGCAAGAAGACTTAGCAGGCGGCGGTATTTACCAGATCTTATTTCTCAAATGATACAAATAATTTTATTACTCGTTTAGGTTTGCCTCTTGACGCTATTCAAGTATATCATCTGTTTATTAATTTGCCTTATATATTAAAAATTCTATTACATAACTCAACGTTTCTGGCTCTAGAATGCGTGTTCTTGTTGGTTGATATTGTTAGTTTAGTTTATGCCTCTGAAGCTGAAGACATTAGCGTCGATCAGTTGCAAGAATGCATCTTACAACATAATCGACTTTACAAGAAACATTATTCAAACAGTCTAAAACCAAAGTTTCATTTCATGCATCATATTCCGCAACAGATGAGACGTTTTGGACCTCAAAGATACACACAGTGTTTGAGTGCTGAACGAAAACATCAGTTTTTCAAAGGTTTAATTAAGTTTCGGTTAGTTATCAGCATTAACTGTGTTGTATTTTGCTTTGCTTGAGGTTTTAAGCATCGTTGTTTCAAAAATTTGCCTTTTACTTGCGCTAAGCGACATCAAACTTGGGAGTATTCAAAGGATTACAATGCCGATGGTACATTGTCAACGAACATCTTCAAGCATAATATAATGCTGCAGTACGTAACAACAATTCCTGATGGATTGATCCTGGATATTGAACAACTGCTACTACCGTCACCACCCACAAGTATAGCACAAATTGCCAAAATCGACTCAATAAGTTATACTGTGGGGGCGATATTATGTGTATCCAGCGTCTATTTATCATTTAAACCGCAATTTGTTCAAATAAAAAATATTTTACTTATTGGTCATCAACCGATTTTTATGGTACAATATGTTAAAGTTATTAAATATGATCCACATGTGAAAGCATTTGAAGTTAAAATGAAACAGGAACTCGGAACTGTATCTAAACAAGATCTAAAGTATGTGTGGCCTCTTAAATTGATTGAGATTAACCACGTAAAGTATGTTGCTTTGCGACCGTATGGAAGATTATTTATTTGAAATGAATGTTTTATGTCATATTTGATTTATTCATGTGTTGTCTTTCTGATATGTGTAAACTTGTCAGTGTTGTCATTCTTTCCTTCACACGTGTTTAGCCTGTTCTGGAATTTATTGAAATAAAAATCTTATATGTCGGAGTGTTTTATTTAGTAATTTTATCGGTCAAAGTCTTCTTACATGTTTTTCTACTTTCAGATCATGTTTAAAAACACGTGCAGCCAGTGTCCGGATACGGATCATTGTATTAGTTACATTAATGACGATAGCAGTAACAATCAGTGTCTGTGTGGACATAAAAAAAATAAACATCTGTTTGGTAAATAGGAGTCTGATTTGCTTAGTACTTGCTACAGATAATGTTTTCCATGCTTTTAGATTTATCTTCCACGTCAGCAACAATGTTTAATACCTCTCCTCTTCCTTTTATAAAATCATCTCCGTCAACACCACAAACTCTCTTCAATCCAACTGTAGCACCATCGACGGAACCAGTCAGTCCATCATATCCGTCCAGGTTATTAGAAAGTGATCAACATTCATCTTCTATTGCTTGCCCACTATCGACAGTGGCCAGCGATAAAACACCGTTAAGACCACGCAAAAATAGAATTAAAGCAAAAATCCAGGAATCTAATGTTCATGTACCCTCGACATGTCAATTACCAGTCTATACGGAGACTGTTGAACAAGCTTTGTTAGGAGGTATACGTATGTTTTAAGCGTCAGACTGGAAGTAAATTTTAATTTCTCTCGTTCTTATTCGTAGGAAAATTTGAACAAGTTTCCAGAAAATGTTTTCATGAAACAAGAGACGCCATGCTATCTAATATCCAACTATAAGTGGTCAGATTGATTACAAAAATGTTGGCCTTGCTATTGTACGTCAATATCCAAATATAGCAAAGAAGGATGGTTTTAATTTAGTAAGAGTTTCAGCTATTTTCTGATAAAAAGTTATTCTCTGTTCACGTTTTAGACTGACATATCGTCGTGATCAACTGAATGCATCAGTAATTTTCGACAAGAGATGAAACGTAAACAAGGATTACTGACAAAACGAAAGAAAAAACAAAGAAAAGCAAGTGTGGTTATTGATATCAAAGAATTAAAGAAAATTGAGAGTTACGAAACAGATACTGACGAGGTAAATATACCACGTGTTAAATACAGCTGTACCATTTTTCTGGTATGTTTAGGAAAATGAGAATTCAGTTGTAAAGCGTGCTCGTGTTAAAGAAAGCCCAGTGAATGACAATATAAATCGTGTTTTAAATGAAATCTCAATAAATCTGAGTGCATATCACTTTCGAGAAGTTTAATCGTGGTAGCAGCAATCACGTGAATTCGTCACAGCTAATGGAAATCATGTAGATGATAATATAGATGTTGATACATTCATAACACTATCAGCTCCCTATGCACACCAACCTTTTTCTTTCTTATTTATAAGGTTAAATAAAGTGTTTCTCTGCATTTAGAAGAAAGAAATGGACGAAGAAAACAACATTATTCCATTACATTATGGTAATGAGGTTACTGTCGTTACAACGAGAGAATCACCAACATCGTCAAAAGTTTTAGCTGTAGATACCGATGAACATGTCGAATTATTTAAAACAGATATGGAAGAATCACCGATGAGCGATGAAAAACAGTATGAAGTCTCTGTATCAGCAACCTCGTTATTGTTAACAACAGAAGAAAGACAAAGAGATTATAATTCAATTCAGGAAGATTCAAAAGAACAGTTTTATAAAAATATCACAGACAAAGTTAAAAGCATGGCTGCTCGTGCGGCCGTTTTGACGGACGACGATACTGCTATTGTTGGTGATAATGACAGTTCTTCATGTCATTCAATTGGTGGAAGTCAAATACCTGTTCAGCAGCCAAAAGTACAACAATCACAGTCAGCGCTATTTATTTGTAAACAAAACAATAAAGTCTTTCGGCTTCCTATAAGTATGCAGTAATTTTTCTTCATTTCATTTTTATTTGTGAATTATCTTTTAGCTATGTCCGTTCCGTTCAGTTCTCAGTTGTCTTCTTTGTCAAACGGTGATTATAAGCTGATATGTAAGAACACAGTACTGAGAAATTATTACTGTATTCTGTTTTATAGTGCTTTCATATTCACGTGCGTTACAATCGCAGCAAACACAACTGACTCCAGCATCGTCATTTACGCCACGTAAGAATCTTCTCTTGAAAGAAAAGGAGGATTGCAAGTTTTTCTAATTCAGGTTGCTCCATTGCATCAAAAAGTATACATTCACAACCATCGTTAAACACCTGTACAACACCAAAAGACAACTCATCAGCTGCGTCGTCAAATGATTCAACCATTGATCAAACATATAGTTCACTTAAAAGCGAACTATGTACAAGAGTATCACGAATTAGTAAGAAGAAGAAAGCAAATGTTGAACCAAGTGTGATGATGCATATCAAACAATTACAAGAAACTACATTTTTGATGAGAAGAAAACAAATGTCCAAGCATTTACTTTTACCAATCAATGACAAAGCACAACTTTATCCAGAGTTATTGAATGAACAAATGGTAATATATAGTTATATCTAACAGTACTTTCGCAAAATATCTGTTTTATTCTTTAGCTTTTAAGCGAATGGAATTTATTATTAAGAACAAACAAAACAAAAGAAAAGAAACCGAAAATTTCAACAATAATTGATAAACAATTCAATCCAAATACTTTAAGATGTGTTTTAGATAAATTAATAAACATTTATAAAGTGAAAAACAGTCAGACAGTAAGTTTCTTTCCTATCAAGTGATTCTTTTCTCAGAAATTATTTGCACTGTAGCAAAGTGAAACCGATTTAGAAGCGGTTCGACAGTATTGTCAGAAACATCAATCGCGAGTATTTGCGAGAAAAGAAGTAAAAAAGGTATTTCCTGCTTATAGGTTTAAGTTAAAACTGTTTAGTACCTATTTTTTACTTCGTTTAAACGTCTTCAGTTGGTGTGTTTTGGTCGGGAGCAATATGGGATAAAGGAACCATTAATTTATCATCAACAGTCAAATTCAACATCATGTCAACGGCCAGTGGCCTTCAGGGGCCGTTATTTTTATTTTTAATCACATTTCCAGTTTATGATATTGACTTTCCTGCCGATATAAAACTAGCTGTTGATCAATTAATTGAACAAGTACTAGATATAAGTCAATATTAATGATATTGTTTTTTTTTCTGAACCATTTCTGTTTTGATGTTCTATGCGGTGTATTAATAATTTTTTTGTTATTTTGTTCTTGCTCTGTATTTTTTATATGTGTTTCTGCGAAGATTCAGAAATAAATTTTTCTAACATGAGTAACGTGTGTCTTTAATCTTAGTTCATTACTTTCCGTTGAGATAAATTTGCATTACAGACACTATTCAAGGTTATTAGCCAGAGTTTCTTTTGGATTATCTGCCTATATGACATTATTCACTGGCCGCAGAAAAATTACTTTCTAGCTTATCACTACCATCTGACGCTCTTCTATGAAACTCATTTTCAGAAGAAAGATATATTTTTTCTCTCATCGCATAAGATATTAGTCTGTTTGGAAAACAGATAAAAACTACAAGCGTTTGTTTACGCTGTATTTTTGAAAGATTTTTAAGTAAGAATATGTCTCATGCTTCATCTGTACATACTTACCCGTTCAAGTTTATTTTAAAGTTATGTTTGTAGAACAAACAAAGGGTTGATTATTTTTTATTCATGTTTGTTACAAAAACAGCACCCTGCGTACGCCACACAATCACAAGCTTTACACTGTGGAAAAACACAGGATTAAATCCGTAGTTAGTTTTCAACCAATAGCACGTCGACCAATCAGAATAGAGCAATGGACTTTTCAGTCTGGAACCTGTCAGCCTACTCCGTGACTTTTTATGGATTGGATAACACGGATCACGGACTTTTCTTAGAATTTTTTTTCTGAGATAAGTCCGTGATTTCATTTAGATAAGTTCGTGGAAGAATTTACAGTGTGTGTATGCGCAAAATACGGAAAAATGGCTGTCAGAGATTCTATGGATAAGCCAATCAAAAGCGAGAAGCATAAAATATTTCTTTTCACTACGCGAGAAAAAATATTCAACGAGATGATGTGAAATATCTACTGATGCAGAGAAAGAAAGGTAAGCAAACGTTTTCTGTAGGCTGGAGGTAGATGTCGCGAAGTAGCAGTCAACTGTGATAATTCCGAAAAAAAGTCTTGTACCGATAATAAAACTTACAGTGTACAGATAATCTATCATAGCGAATCGGTTAGATATACTTCCAACCTGCTGGGGATCTACAGACGGTGTCCAGAAAACCTTTTAGCTTTATATTACATAAGACGGTTTTTTCGTGGAATCAACGAACTTCACAGCGTTTCTAAGCCATACTGGCTGCGAGCGCTGACCGAAGGGAGGTGAGTGCATTGTTTTGAATTCAGAACTATTTTTAGACCTCTGGAGATCTTTGTAGGGTCTCGAGAAAACCTTTTAGATTTACATTAGATTACGAATCGTATACAGCAAAACAATGAAAAATTTAGGACATATTTCAGATAGTCCCCTAGCGAACGCCGACCGGAGGAAGGCGTGAGTGTTGTCGTGGATTCAAAAGTGATAAAGGGTCGTTCGCAGATATAAGTTCCTAAAATCAAAGGATCGAGCAAGTGTAGACGAGCGTTACCTTGTTGCTCATTTAACTTTTGTAGCGTGAATGTGGCCTAAGCGAGAACGCAGCTAACAAAGCACGTCTCTTTTGTTACTCCATCCCTAGTTGAGAATCCCGGAAGGACTCCCGCGGGATTTCACCAAATCATAACAGTAAAGTGGTCGTTTCATTTAATGGGGGTCACAAGTATTACGGCTTTCTTGTCTTGGTTATTTGTTTTCTGTCCAAGACTGAGTGTAAGTCGCTTAACATAAAGAGAGAGATAGGAAACACATGTTTATTCAGAAAAGAAAAACAAAACAGTAGTCTGTTTCAATGCTAATGTCTATTTGTTAATTGATTTTCGTCCTCCTTCGATTATTGTTATTGTTCAGTAGAGATTTCATCCTCATCTACTGCATTTTTCATCCCTTTCCCATGTTTAACACCACGCTATAGTTGTTGTTTTGCTTCACCTAGGGTTCTTCTTAATTGTAATAATGTTTCATCATTTAATTCGAATGCTTGTTTCAGACCATCTAGAATACAGAAGAAGTACTATTATTTAACTTCAAATTCAAACGACTACCTACCATTTATTACTTCATATCGAATGTCTTCTTCTTCAAGATGTTTGAAATTGATTATTTCTGATTTTTTGTAAATATTCATGATGCTTTTTTGCATGAATGACCTGATCGATGTTAGGTCGGTTTTTAAATCCATCAAGTTTTTAATGTTATGTATCTAAAAGACAGAAAATCTGAAACTTTTCTTAAATGCAAAGTACTACACTGAAGTGGATGTAACCGGAGTTGTTGATGTTGAGGATCGTAATAGAGACACATTGATGGATTGCTTGTACGCCGACATATGCTACAAAGGTTTTTAGAATAAAAAATAGAAAAAGGAGCCAAGAACGTACATTGTTCATAATTTTCATTGATTTGTCGATGTGTCTCACTTACAGTATTAAATCTTTTCCACGTGGACCGTTCCACGAACCAATCAATGCATTAGAATAAAATGAGAAAGCGCTTTAGCTCTTGTATGATGAGTGGAGTACTATAAATGATTTATTTTAACTAAATAAGTATGTAAGAATAAAAGTGCTAAAAAAACGGATGTTAATTTTTTAAGGAACAAATACATATGAAAAGTGGCGCTTAAAACTACGAATAAAATTTCATTTTTTTCTGAATGTTTAGAGCATTAAATATTATTCAGAGGGACGATTTATTAAGATCGGTTAATTATAATGAAACATCAAACACACATACACACATTTACATGCAAGAAAGGTTAGACCCATAAATAACGGTATATGTGTATTTTTTAATTAAGGTCTAAAGACATATCTAGCCTACAAAGGATTCAAGAATGCAAAGAAGACAAAAGACGGTGCTAGACAGAAAAAACTTAAAAATAATAAACTGAAATCTGGTGATTCTTATATGGGAATATATTGTAGAGAGTGAAGAGTTTAATGATGATAAGAAGAAAGCCAAAAGCGATTTTTTCGAACAGGTTGGATGTAGGTTTGGTTATTTGCAAGCATTATCACCAACAATACATATAAGAACGTCAAACGAAAAGCGTGTATTGATGCGAGGTGATAGGGATATTATTATTAAGCGAGCAACTCAGGAAAGAATCGTACCATACAATCCTAACTGATTGAGAATTTTCAAATGTATTCACGATGTTCAGGTGAGTAGATAATCAGAATAGCCTTACTTTGTTTTAAGCAGATTTCAGGCAAGAAATAATTAATCATCAATCTAAATTTTACAACTGTTAGATTATAAATGTAAATGCTGAAAAAGATTTAGCCTATCAACTAAATAATATAACATGTGAAACAAAGGCTGATGGTCGTAAGATTCTACTAAAGGCGGGAAATGCAGTTCTGAGCCATGGACAGGTATATATGTTAATTTACACGAGGTATTTGAGTATAGTGACAGGTTTTATTCATGTATTTCAGGTGGACAAGATTGAGACCTGTTATATTATCAGGGAATATCCATTGTACACTACGACAAAATCGACAGTACACCTGCATATATCATTACCTCAAGATGGACAGCGGATAGTAAAGTATGGACACGTACATCATAGTAATCTGATAGAATCATCGTTAGTAGAAACCAAAATTCAGTAGTACGAGAGGAGACCTACACATCAATCATCTTTCAGAGATATGGATATGTTCGAATTCCACAGCTGGTTCATAAGCGATTATAATTTTAAAATTAAAATGAATATCAGGACTATGATGAAAAAAATGATACCGATCAAGGTGAGTAGGTCCGATTGAACATTATCTAAATATATCGTGCTAGTTATATTCAGATGACGAACGAAGAATAGATATCAACAATGATCTGCATTTAAACCCACTTTGTAGAACGAAATTTGAGGAACCATCTTTGTAGATT